TTAATTATAATAATACATGCACAATTAAATGAATAAATTTACTATTTTAACATACACAATTAATTTACATGCACCATTAAATGAACTTAATATAACAATGCAGTATGCACAATAATAGGTAAAGGAATCCACACATAATTGAATTTAAATAACTAAACTTTTTAATAAATTACGGGGTATTACACGTCCTGGAAGTCGTAAATACATGCGAGAATTACCAAAAATCATATTTCGTTATTTCCTTATGGGCCTAATGGTTACTAAAAGTCGTAAAACCAATCCAAAAGGGATTGTAATTTGTTCTCCACTATAAAAGAAGAGGATAAGGCCATAGAAAATCATCCATTATCTCATATCTCTCTCTCATGGCGGCTTTTAGGGTTTTAAAAAAGAAGATCCTCAAGGAGTTTTGGCGGTCCATGGCGATGAAGACCACAACAACACAAATGATATCTTGTGTCGTCATGAGTAGCTAATTCCTCTCTTAGGGCATTGATGTAGCCCGAATCCGAATACTATAGTTTGATTGTTCTATACTTTGGGAATTTAGTATATTATGTATTTTGATTACATGATTTTGGGCAATTGTTTAATTCAATTGGTGTTTTAATTATTAAATAGTTTTTGAATGATTAATACCTTGTCTTAAATTTAATTATTCTTAAATTATATTCAGCCTACTCTTATTGGACGATATTTGGCGGAGCCTTGTCGGACATAAGAATGGAGATCATGCAATGGTATTTAAACGTTTTTCAGAATCAACTCTTTCATAGTTTATGCTTACGGAAGACGAGTTATACTGCAACATTAGTTAGAAGTAGATAGGTAGATAATTCGTGCCAACCGAATATAGGTTATAGTTAGCTAAGTTCAATGAAACATCTTTCTTTAAATCTGAATTAAACGACTGTTATTGAGTTTAATTCCATATTATATATAATTGTTGAAATCCCAAGGTTGAACAGTTGACCATGGTATGAGGTTTATGGTGAAGTGAATCCCTAAGTATTTTTTTTCTTTGTCTCATTCCTTTTATTCCGTTTATTTTCTTCTCTGTTATTGAATTGCTTCACAACACAACAAATTAAATCTTCCTTCTAAATTAAAATAGTAATTATTTTAAGACTCGATGAACCACCACAGTCCTTGAGGTTCGACACCCCTTAACATAGCTTTATCCTACAAGGATTCGTTCTATTGCGAGTGGTATTTTATTATTGATAAATAAAAACACACATCATAGGGGAGGTGGCGGCGGCATGTTTGACGAAGAAGATGGTGGTCGTGGATGTTCGCCGGAAAGATGGATTCATTGCCGATTGTTAGAGAGAGAAGAGAGTAGGGAGAGAGAAGGGGCATCGGTTCAACAAAAACAAAAACAAAAAAAATTGCCACGTTGGACAACCACGCATGATAGTCGGTAAGTGTCGGGTGCAAAATGGTCGGGTGGTGTAGCACCGCTCAATCAACAATTGTTTTTATTAATATTCAAGACAGGGTGGTATGAGTAAAAAATTGAAAATAGAAAACTGCCTTAATTAACTTGGTAACCCATTTGGATGGTGAAAGGCCAATCATCAAGAATGATGAATAGTTCATTTTGTTTATGATGTATTTTAAAGGTGTAAGGCGTAAGTGTCGGGTTATTTGAGTGATTGGAATACTGTAATGTTGTGTTGGGTAAGAAGGAAAAAAGAGGTATAGAGAGAAAATAGGAAGGAAGGAACGAACTTAAATTCCTTTGTTCAGTAGGAATGACACAAGGAAAGAAAAGAGAATAGGAATGATGAATCTCATCCCTCTTTTACAAATTTTCTTTACAAATTTTCAACCACCAAAAAATGAGGGAAGAAAGGAGGGATAATAAGTGGACTATTATAGAAGTTTTTAATTAAATATTATCCTAAATTATATAAGTTTTAAATTACAGTATCATTCTCTATAAATTACAATATTATAAATATTATTGGATATAATGGTAAAAATAATTAAAACTTTATATTTCCTTCCCCTTAACGAACATAGAAAGTTTTAATTATTTTTACCATTATATCCAATATTTTCTTATCCATCCCTCTTCTCTTCCTTTCATTCAATTTTTTTCTTTCCTACCAAACATAGCATAAGTTTTCGGTAGTCCGTATTTGAGCCTTGCACCCTCCACCTCCCCTCTAATAACTAAGGAGACTGTGCAGACATTTTGTTAAAAAAAGGCCAAGAAAAAAATAAAAAGCTTTCTTAAGCCTATATTTGGTATAGGAAAATAGTGTTAGCTTATGTACGTTGATTAATGAGTGAAAAGAAATAATAATCATGTTTGAAAAAAATAAAACAAAATGAAACTATTTTAATTATTATTTTTTTATTTTGTTGAAAGGTTACCACGCCCCTTTCCACAAATTTTGTCATTTATAAACAAATGGGGAATTTGATATTAAAAAAATTTCATTAGAAATATTGGCCTTTCTTTTTATTTTTGAGAGGATAATAAAATTAACTCATGAAACTTTAATGTATCCGTCCAATTTCTTCCATTTCTTTTCTTATTTTTTTAAAAATTTTGTAAAAGAAAAAAAAAAATTGTATCCCACCATTTCTTTGCAACCAAAGTGGGCCTAAATAAAAGCAATGGTCATTGGGCAATTTGACTGAAATTGACTGTATCTTGATTGAGTGGATTATATGTCGTTTTTGTACACCTCTATTATGATTTTAACCCATAAAAAAAAGTGGTATATAGATGCTAACAAAATCATACAATCCTTCTTTAATGGGTGTCGCTCGGGGTGCCTTCACGCTACGCACGCGCTCTGACTCAAATTTTCACTATTTATGATTTAATTTTGTCGCTCTCACATTCATGTTCTCGAATTTACTCTCACGCAGTGGCGGATCCAATGGGAGGCTTGGGTGGGCTTAAGCCCCCCCTAAATTTTTTTTATTTTATTACTATTATTATTATTTTTTAGTATAGTTATATTTAGCCTAATGTTTTAAAAAAGAAAAAATTAGTAGTAGTTAGCCCCCCCATTTTAACCCATCCAAACAAGCCCAATATCTAAGTCACAATTTTAAAACAAAGATCCAACTAAATAGGCCCAAGCCAAACAAACCCTAAACAATCACTAAGCCAAAGCATAAAGAACTCCTGAATTCCTAATCTTGCACAAATCAGAGAGCATACTTCTTCTCTCCCTCTAAAGTTTAACCTTATTTCCTCTAGAATTTTCTAACTCTTTAATCTTTCGATTCTTAATTTTTCCTTGTTTAATATTAGCCTCTCTATTAACAATTTTGAATTTGCCCCTCTGACGCCTGTTCTCGTTTTATGTATCTTAGAATGCCACGTCTACTTAGTTCCAAAGGAATTATGGTTGAGATAACAGGGTGGGGTTTACCATTGAAGGCTTGGCCCTCGATTCTCTTTTGTGATGGGATTTTGAGAATTTTTATAACCTCTTTGCCAAGTCAAGTCATGAATTAGGGTTGAACTTATTAAAGTTTTGGGGAGGTGGGTCCAACTATGAGGCTGAAGAGGTGCACCCCACAGGCTGTAAATTCAAATTACTGACGAGTACATTTGTCAATTTTTATAGCAAAGTTAAGACTGAATAATTATTTAGCTCAAAAATTAGGTTTGCTTTAATGTTTTTACTTTTTTTTTTTTTTTTTTTGGCGTTTTGGGAATAGAAGATTACACGGATTAGAAGAATTAATCAACATTAGCAAATTTTAGGACATCTAACGGAATTTAATCCAAAACAACATGTCTTTGACAACTGAGCCATCCCACGGGCCACCTCATTTTTCTATCTCCCAGCGTCCCTTTCCATAAATTTTGTCATTTATAAACAAATGGCAAATTTGATATTAAAAAAATTTCATTAAAAATGTTGGTCTTTTTTCTTATTTTTGAGAGAATAATAAAATTAACTCATGAAACTTTAATATATCCGCCCAATTTCTTCCATTTCTTTGCTTTTTCTTTTTTTCAAAATTTTGTTAAAATTTTTTTTGTATCCCTCCATTTCTACAAAGGGGCATAAATAAAAGCAATGGTCATCCGCTCATTACCATAAAGGGGCATGCTGTACTACTTGATACCACAGGGGCATGCTGTAACTATTGAAATTCATATGGAAAAAGTTGGTCCCATAAAGAGGCTCTTGATTCAGGTCGCCAAAAATTAAGATTGGGTTGGCGATTTCCTGACATGCGGGCCCACATTAGTTATTTTTATTTTTATTTTTTATGTTTATTCTGGCCTAAACAGTGTTTTAGCCCAGAATACTGTTTGGTAAGGCATGGTTGGCTGAAAAAAAAAAAAAAAATCAATTTTTTTACTGATTTTGGTCTCATTTTTTTTTTTTTTTTTTTTTTCTAAAAATAATTGAATCAAAGAGCCATTAAGGCACTGTTTGTCTGACACAAACAGTGCCTCAAAGGCTTTTTTGGGCAAAAAAAGTTAAAAAAAAGATAGATAAAAGTATTTTTTTTTTTATAAAAAAATTTACTTTTTAAAATATTCCTACTCACATATATACTGTTATAAATATAGTCATTAGAAAAAAGTTAAAAAATATTATTTTATTTAAAAATTTAAAAATATTAATATTTTTAAAGAGCGAAAATACACCATTGAAGTACATCCAATAATTAAAATTTAGATATTTTAAAATATTAGTGTGACTATAAAAAATATTGACGTGGCTATAAAGAAAATATTAATGTTATAAACTTGGAGAGTCCATATGCCTAAAGGTTCACAACTAACAAAAGTAAAAAAGAAAACGAAGAAAAAAAAAGTCGGCAGAAGTCGCAACGTGTCATCCACGTCATGAATATATAGTGCCACGTTTCAGTACTACGTTTCCCGGGAAAAACTCTGTCTCTTGGCTGTTGAGCTCTCAAGAAGAGATTCACATCATTTCCAGATTTGTTCCTTTCTCCGAGAAAAGTTTTTATAAGCATTAATTAATATGGCGTTTTCTAAATTAATGGCAGCATTGAAGGTAGATGATGATGATCAGGTGGTTTCTGTAACAGTGTTCGTCGCTGTGCTATGTCTCTGTATAGTCATCGGACACTTGCTTGAAAAAAATCGATGGGTCAACGAATCTATCACTGCTATTATCATAGTAAGACTCTGTTTTTTTTTTTTTTTTTTTTTGTTATTAATAATCCATTTTCTACGATTATGTTGATTAAATATATAAATTTCTCTTTTAATGATATATTTGTATGATTATATGTGGCAGGTTAAAAAAAATATTACATTGTTGTTTTGTATGTTTGATTTATAATAATGTTTTGGATGTTGATATATCTGTTATAATGATTTTTGAAAATTTACTATACAATTTTCGGATATATTGATTTAGACGGAGGAAAAATTACTGAGTCACAGTTCGTGTGCCAAGTCTACGTGGCTGGTGATAAATGACACCTACAATAACTAACTGTATATAACTTGTGTACGTGGTTTGGGGTATATATATTTATAAATATTAGTGTTATCTTGTTCTGACACAATGGATCGTTCTTTGATTTCTTTCTTCATTGAACCCTGTAAGTCGAGATGAATATATATTATATTGCAAGATTCTTTACCAACTAGCACCTTCACATAGGTCTAGATATAAACCAAATTTAAGTTTACTTAATGTTGGTCTTCGAGATTGAAAGTTGATAGACACGAAATTTAAGTTTTCGTAATGTTGGTGATCGAGATTGAAAGTCGATTGGCACGAATGAATGGCAAGAAATCCATATGCATACATCTCTTGTTAAGCTATGTGGATAAGCAGTCACTTAATTGCAGCATTTTTTTTTATGATATAAATATTTAAAGATATGCCATCTCTATTCACTAAATTTAGCTCAATATTTGAGAGTGATAAGTTGTCTATATGGTATCACAACAGCAGGTTTTGTGCTCGAATCATTACACTTCCTAAGAAATTAGACATCACATTCTTAATTGGCCACATGAGAGACTTCTTGATGATATGTATAGTACGCTCTTCTGTGAGTTAAACTTCTTAGAATAGTTGATTCTTAGCAGCATTACATGCCAAGCTAATGTTTACATGGCAAACTAAATTTAGTTGGATTAATAGCAAAAGAGGGAGTTGCAAAGTAGCATGATTGGGGTTACACAAACCATCCTTGTAATTTGTTGGCTTCGGAAGTACATTTCCAAGTCTGGGTTAGTGGCGAGACACTCGGACACACCAGAGACGGAGATGAAGGGCCGATAAACACCGGTTAAAGACTCCCAACCATGAGACCTTGATGACAAATCTGTTATGTTCTGTTCTGTTGAAACCTGAAATTGTGTTCTGAATATTGCTAGCTTTTACTTCACTTAAAAATTTTGTGATTTCTTTTGCCCTACAGGGATGCATTAGTGGAACAATAATCTTGTTTATAAGCAAGGGCACAAGTTCTCATATCCTAAGATTTGATGAACAACTGTTCTTTATATATCTCCTTCCGCCTATTATATTTAATGCTGGGTAAGGACACATTGTTATGGTTTACACTTTTTAACTCTTTAGTGTAGTTTGCTTAATGTTTCACGGGGTTAACTTCTCTAGCTTACTTTTGACAGATTTCAGGTCAAGAAGAAACAGTTCTTCCATAACTTCTTTACCATCATGTTGTTTGGAATTATTGGTGTTTTCATATCATCTGCCATTATTACGGCTGGTAATATATTCCCTGTCCGGCACTCATTTTCCATTCAATTACTTGTCTATTTGCCAACTTGACAGCCTGATTGTGAGGTTTTGCTATGCTACTTTCGCCGAGATGCACTCTAATTTTTTCAATGCTACTCTTACTTAGGCAGCTGGTGGCTGTTTCCTTTGTTCAGCTTCGTTGGATTGTCTGCGCGTGACTATCTTGGTGTGATTCTCATCCATGTTATCTTTTGTGCTATGTTACAGTTAGCATATTCCATCATCATCATGCACTAGTATTTCTTACTAGTAGATTCTATTATATGGGGTGAAATCTTATATGTTATTACTCTTGGTCCAGCTGTAGGGACAATCTTTTCATCAACGGATACAGTGTGTACTCTGCAGGTTAGTTAGAGTTGATTATATGAGTTCAGATATTCAGTTTCATTAATTATGGAAGCTGCTATCATGGTTGTTCCTAGATATGAAATCTACCTGTAGGTTCTACAGCAAGATGAGACTCCTTTGCTGTACAGCCTGGTTTTTGGGGAAGGAGTAGTGAATGACGCAACATCAGTTGTTCTCTTCAATGCAGTTCAAAAGCTTGATGTCAGTACATTTAATGGCTGGTCAGCTGTTCATATCCTTGGAGATTTCATATACCTATTTTCCACAAGCACTGCTCTTGGAGTCGGTGTAAGTTTAGATTCTCATAATATCCACAATGCAGATTGTTATGTGTATAAAGCTTAAAGTGACTTTTTAACTGACCGTTTAACATGGTACACAGTATATGCATTCAAATTATGTTTATGCTCGTTATATTGGAGTGCGTTGTGAGCTATGTAGATTGATTTAAATTGATCAGAATAGAACCTCATGTCGAAAAGAGTGGAGAGGGGCAGGATATATATAAAATCAGTAATGGAAGAACTGGCCCGTTATGGTTATCAATTTAAAAGAGCTTCAACGGACCATTCTAAGGGTTTGATGCATTCTGTTTATTTTTTGAGCTCGTTGTTCAGCATTGAAGTCTTAAATGAAGCGATATATAAATATTCCTGGCTTGGATAACTTGCTTAGTTCCACATCCTAAATTGATCCGACATTGATCAGCACAGATTTAATGATGAGTAGCCAATCTTGATAGATTGTTTTCTTTGCATTCATTAATGAACATAAACCAACTGAAATACCTTGCACAATTCCTCTACAATTGTACAAGTAGGCTTGATTTTTTATTTTTAGTTTTTGTTTTTGGGCAGGCTGGACTTTTGACGGCGTATGCGCTTAAAGCACTGTGCTTTGGGAGGTAATACTTATGTTGCAAATTACTTAAGGGAAGGTTCTGTATTTCATGGACGTGGGAGTATAGGAGTTTTGTAATATTATTTTATAAATGATTGAGTCAAATAAATTACATTTTATTGTGTGACATCTATAGAACTCTGTATTTATATTTTTCTGCAGACATTCAAGTGTTCGTGAAATCTCTTTAATGGTTTTAATGGCATATTTGTCCTACATGTTGGCTGAGGTAATGACGTGGTCTGATCTCATTCAATTTATCTTATCAACGTGTATTATTCTAATGTACATGCCACTTTTTTTTTTTTAGGGAAAAAACTCCCACAATGTTGTTGGAGGAGAGTTGAACCCTTTACCTTTTGCTTTGAAAGGAGATGAGATTCCACTAGGTCACAGGCCTGGTTATGTCATTTTCTGTCTACCATACACAAATTCACAAGACTATTGATTTAGTTTATAAAAAAGGTTGTTTGATACCCAGTGCCATTCTGTCTAGCAGGGTGCTGGGAGAGACACTATTTTTTGCACAAAGTGGCTGCTCTTATACTTCGATTGGGGTTCCCATGCTTGCTATTTCAATCTTGTACCTTCATACCAACAATGACCCCCATAGCATTGTTAGATTCCTTAAATTTTGAAGGTCCCAAGTCTAGTAGATTTTATTCATTAAGCACGTGTAAGCAAGTTTAATGACTTGTAATTCTCGAAACACAGAGTGTGTTCTAGTGGGCAATGTCCTTTAATATTGGACTTCATTTCTTTTCTTGTTTAGTTTTTGGGAAGAAAAGGGACTGTTGTGGCTTTTTTGGCGTTACACTTCTTCTATTCAAATGTCCAGTTGTCCCTATCTTGCCAGATTTTGATGATTCATATCTTGTTAGATGAGTTGTGGGACATTTTACCAGTTGTAATATGCAACGTGTATAAAGATTTTTTATGTTAAAATAGTTTCCATACACCATGTTCTTTTTGCAATTCTTGCAATTTCTTCTTCAAATATATGTGCATGTCTCCAGCTGTTGTGAAATCCATGATGTTTCTACCATTTGTCTTTAACCTTTCCTTTGTGCAGCTGTTAAGCTTAAGTGGGATTCTAACTGTCTTCTTCTGTGGGGTTCTTATGTCTCACTATGCATGGCACAACGTGACTGAAAGTTCAAGGATAACAACCAGGCACGTATTAATAAATTGTGTATCTGTAGTAATACCAGTAACATTTGTTGCACATTAATAAAAAAAACTCAACCCTATGATGGCTCTTTAATAATTGATAGTAACTTATAAAAGGGAAATTACCTAGTTCTAGTCTCTCATACTGTTCATGTTGGGAGGAGATAGAAAGGAGACATACCCAATTGTTGGCCTTATATTTGCATAAAATGTGGCTGCTCTTATTCTAGGCCAGTGTACTCACTTTTGTCAATCCAAGCTTATTTATTAAATAGTCCTAATAGTTGATGATCTTGAAAGCAAGCAACATTTGATCCTACGATAACTAACAATTCTACTACTAAATAATGTTTTTTTAAAAAAATATAAGTTTATTAGTTATTAGAATGTATACGTGTGTAGAGAGAGAGAGAAAATGTCAAATAGATCATGGTGTGACAACAAAGTTCTCGACAAATCAAATACATGGTAATTTGCTCATCCCACAAATATTATTCTAAAGAATATTAGAATCTCTTTTCCTTGTACCTTAGAAAAGTTTATTGACATAAGGTAAATATTGCTCATAAGACTTTTAGAAAATTCTTAATTATGTACTTAGGATCATTATCCAGTTAGGTCCTTGTAAATCGAGGGTGCTGGGAGGGGTCACTGAATACATATTAACCTTTTGCATTATATGCACAGAGTGACTGTTCTTAAGATTCAATCTCATGATCTCAAGCTTGACAGGAAGAGCATTTTACTACTGTATTAAGGAATCACCCGTGTAAAAGTTTGACTAGCTGAAAAAACTAATATTTCGTAATTATATCATTCCCCTTCTAGGTTGGACTACTAATGGGTAATGGCTTTTTTTTATTTTCCAATTCTATTAGATAATAAATTTAGTGTCTCCAACGATTTATTATTTTCATTTTCATTTTTTATTTTTGGGTAATGGTTATTAATAATTGGAGCGTTTTGCTACTAGTCATTGCAAGAGAGAAAATAGTTTAAACATTATTAACCACTCCTCTACACTTTCTCATCTGCAGGCATGTATTTGCAGGAATGTCTTTTATTGCAGAAACATTTATATTTCTTTATGTGGGAATGGATGCTCTGGACATTGAGAAGTGGAAAATGAGCAAACTAAGGTAAAAATGCTCATATGATGATCTATCATTTAAATTTGATTAATTTTTTTGTAAGAAAATAAATGGTTCAGATAACCGAATGGGGGTGCTGTTCTTTTAATAATATATACTAAGTGGAGAGTACTTTACCTGTACTCTCATGCTAGTCAACAACTTTTCAGATTTAACCATGATTATCGTAGAGCCCAACAACCAAATACATGACATCTATTTATTATCAACGTAAAGTCTAACCTTGTTCCCATGAAAACACTACATTGATTTTGTCCAATTTTAGACTTCTGATCTACAGATTGAGAATATGAAAAAGAATGTATTTGGGTTGCATTTTTTTTCTCATTATCACAAATAAAGGTGTAATGGTAGAGATTGATAATTTATTTTATCCTTTTTAGTGGTAGAGATGTGTGGGTATGAACACTAGCATACGCAATAAAGCCATCTCTTTTTTTGCAACTAAATTTATTAGATGATTTTCCATAGCTGAAATAAATTTGCCATCCACTTCTTCCTACTGTTTCTTGGTTACAGTTTTGGTACTTCGGTAGGTATATACAGTACCGTGCTCTTGCTGATATTACTTGGACGCGCTGCTTTTGTGTTTCCCCTCTCTGCCTTTTCCAATTACATGAACCGAAATGCTGAGGGTTCATCGTTGATCACGTTCAAACACCAGGTGAGTATTTCTCATGTTTGTCATAACCACCATTTCTGCATATAAAAATAAATGAAATTGCACTCTTTGATGGTTTGCTATGTTGTCTAGATTGTCATTTGGTGGGCTGGGCTAATGAGGGGGGCTGTCTCTATTGCTTTGGCATTCAAACAGGTGCGACAGTTTTTTATTTTATTTATTATTATTATTATCGTGATGGAAGGTTTGAGATTGCTTGATAGGAGCGCTAATACAGTAAATTGCATTTGATAGTAACATCAGTAGTGTCATAGTGTGTTAATTTTCTCTTTTGGCTGACGCAGTTCACATTCTCTGGGGTTACATCTGATCCTATTAATGCTGCAATGGTCACCATTACTGTTATTGTTGTTCTCTTCAGTACCATTGTAAGTTTTTTTTTTTTTTGGTTAAAACAGTACCATTGTAAGTTAATAAAATACAAGTTGTGTTCTCTTTCCTACTTCTTGTAAAATTCAAACTTCTCTCTCTTTTCAACTATATCCTTGCCTTCATCCATTCTTCAAGCAAGGTTGTAGTTCCAGTCCCTAAAAATTACACACATATTTGCAAGATTATGACGAAACTTGTTTCCGGATTCTCACTCCGTGTATGATTTTCTGTTGCAGGTGTTTGGTTTTCTGACAAAGCCACTTATAAGTTATTTGCTCCCTTACAATGGAAACAATCGAATTCATCGAGAACCTACGACCCCTAAGGAGGACCTGACTCTTCCCTTGCTTTCCTTCGAAGAATCTGCTGCCACAAACATGCTCCGTGCAAAGAATAGTCTGTCAATGCTAATAGAAAGGCCGGTATTCACTATTCATTCCTACTGGAGAAGGTTTGATGATGCCTACATGAGACCTGTATTTGGTGGCCCACAAAGCGATGAGCCTTCATGAGCCTTTCTATGATATGTACACAATCCCAAGCCAACTACATGGTGGTACTGAACTCAAGATTGGCATCCCTAGCAGACCATGTAATCTGATGCAGACAGTGTTTGGATAGCTAATTAGGTTGCAGATAGTCTCAATAAGTTGAAAAGAGCTGTGTACATTTTTCTTTTTATCAGGGGGTTGGGGTTTCTGGGATTCAGAAGGTGAGTGAGGTCAAATGAGCTGTGTACATTTTTATTCTGGGGAGGTTCTAATTTCTACAATTTTATTTATTTATTTTTTACGTTTTGCTGTAAGTCGTTTTTTGTTATGTAACTCCTCATGACACTACAACAGTTGAGAGAAAGAAAGAGTGCTAAAACAAAATGATCCAATGGATCATTATATATTTATTTGCAGTTAAGAGTGCTGATTTGAATTTTGGTTTATTCATCCTCTTTTTTATTTGAATAATTTACTAAAACATATTAGTATAGCATTTAAAGCATCGAAAAAATATATTTTTATTGAATTAGTTTTGTACAAAGTATGAATGTTTATTAATATCTCATACATGATATCTGGAGGCACTATCAGTTGATTTTTTTTTTCACAAGAGGTATCTCCACCGGGGTGGGGATTAATCCACTTCTAATTAATGACTAAGACCAAAATGAAACTATTAGATTCCATAGTTACGTGAGGTCATTTATAAAAATTAATATTCACATTCAAAAAATACTGTTGTAGTCTATTTCTTTCATCAGATATTATAATACAATTGTCGCAAAATTTTATTTTAAACTTCCATTTCTGAGTGAAATTGTGTTACTTCCTTTGTTAAAAAATCAATCAGAATAAAGGAATTTTTGTGAAGTTTCAAAATCACCCCCTTTTTTAAATGAAAAAAATAGATAGAAAAAGAATTATCAGAGAAGGGTCTAAAAGTTTATAATCTTTTAGTTTAATTGTTTAAACAAAAAAGTAGAAATATGTATATGTGCAATTATATATATATATATATATATATATATAATTCAAATACCGCACACCTACATTTGTTCACTATAAAGACTTGAACTTTCCAGGGAGAAAATATTATTCTAAGAAAAAAATGAAAAAATATATTTTTGTAATCTAAATTGATAAAAATTACTAACTTCAAGAAAAGATAAATAGTAATTAAATCTAAAAAATACTGTAATCGTAAGGAAAATATGAGAGTGAATTTTTTTAAAAATTATTTTCTTAATTAATTTTTTTTTTAAAATTTGAATTATTATTATTATCTTTTATTGAATTTTAAGGTAACTTTAAAACAAAATTTATCACTTTTACTATTAGTAGCACGTATATGCATATTCCCCAGCAGTTTGGAGAGTATGGACTTTGGAGTTAACAATCCGATTGCAGAGTTTAATACAATTATAAAGAAAGGGTCAAGAAACCGTTTTTGTAGCCCAAATTTGCGCTATGAATTGTAGTTTCAGGGGCCTAGAATTACCATACTTGAATGAAAACCCCAAAAGTCCCTTCATCATCATTCATATTCGGAGGACCACAAAATCATCTCTCTAACAAACACACATTTTCACCGAACAAAAGAAAAAAAAAAAATCATTTCCTTTTATTGGTTTGACCTTTTACCAGTGTTCACTCATGATGTTTGTTTATTCCAAGTGCTTAGTTGAGTTCTCTTGAAACATTTGATCATTACCTTCTTGGGATTCTCTCACCCAGAAGGTCTCTTTTTTCTTTCTAATCATTTGTTAGGTCTCTGTTTCACTCATTGTTATCCTTTTTTTGGTTGTGTAGTTGTATTTTCAATGCTTATTTCATTATAATCAAATGAATACTTGAGAGGGGTCTATGACCATTGGAGAAATTTCAAGTTCTGTGACAATGGTTGTTGATGATAAGAAAGGAACTGAAAATTCAACCCAACCAAGCGAAGCATCTACAGACCAAGAAAATGTAATCGACTCCGGGGAGGCACTTAGTAGACAGCCAAGTGGAGCTTCTTGTTACGCGACAGAGGGAGAGGAAGAAGACGAAGAAACTCGGATACAAGTGGGCCCCAAGTGCAGTATCAAAGAACATCTTGAGAAAGACAAGGTTGGTTTCTCTTACAAGAGATTCTTAATTTAGTTGTTCTTGAATTTTTTATCATATATGTGTTTTTGGTTCAGGATGATGAGAGCTTGAGGAGGTGGAAAGAACAGCTTCTTGGCAGTGTTGATGTCAATTCAGTTGGAGGTACTGCTCTTAGTTTATGTTGGTATAGTGTATGTTGACCCAATAATCAATTTAATTTTTTTTTAAAAAAAGCACAAATTCAAATTTTGGTTGTTTCTATACTGCTTGAATTGTTCATTGGTTGGGAGAATTTATTTCTTGAGAGGGACAAGTTATACAATTCTTCGGTAAAAAAACGATGTGGTCTGCCTTGTTTAATGTTGGTGAAAATTCTGCAACAGAGTTCATAGTTTTTATTTTAATTTTTATAAATTTTTTTCTTCATATTTTTCTAAATAACCGCATTTAAGATGATAAATGTTTTCATTATGCCAACTCTCACTCAACATTTTTTCTATTTGTTTCAATAAATATAAGTTTTTGTCAGTCCTCAATATCCTATTCCTTCTACATATGGAACAGATAGAATAAAATTTATGAGGGATTGTGGTTTATAAATTGTAAAAATCTTTTTGTGCTTAATTTTGTTTTAAGTTTTAATTTACAAATGGAATAACAAGGCTTTTTTATAATTGGTTTATGATAGAAATTCTAGAACCAGATGTGAAGATTTTGAGCCTCACCATTCTCTCCCCTGGTAGACCTGATCTTGTTCTTCCAGTTCCCGAGGCTGGTAACCCCAAGGGCTTGTGGTTTACTTTGAAAGAAGGTATCCCCTACAGTCTCAGATTCTCCATTCAGGTCAGCAATAACATTGTTTGTGGCCTCAGATACACCAACACTGTGTGGAAAACTGGTATCAAGGGTACTCTCTCTCTCTCTTTCTGTGTGTGTGTGTGTGAGTGAGGGTTAAGGTTCAATTAATGCAAAATTACACTCCGGTGTTAATGAAAGCTTTTAATGTGTGCATTTCAGTTGATAGCTCAAAGCATATGCTCGGAACATTTAGTCCTCAGTCAGAGCCATACATACATGAGATGCCAGAAGAGACTGCTCCATCTGGTTTTTTTGCAAGAGGGTCATATTCGGCAAGATCAAAGGTAAAAGAATCAACAAGTTCTTTTCTATGGTAGCCTTTGTGTTCCCACATCGGAATATTTTAAAATAATTCTTGTCTTTATATTCACATGGGCTCGAAACGGCTTGTGCCGGGCCTTGTTACGCGGGCTTGTGACCCAAGTGGGGGCATTAAGGCGACGGAAAGCTGTATGGCCTGGCCAGCGTGTCTTGGGAGGGGGTTTCTATGCCATGCTCACCCTCCCCAGTGATTCCATTGGATTTATAGGGAGCAGGTGCGAGGAGCTTGTCAGCCTTTATTACTCGTAGTAAGGTGTGGTGAGTGCGGCACTCGTTAATTCTTCGTGAGCCTGGAGCTTCACGAAGTTGCTGGCTTGGCAGAGCAGCAATAAAAAAAGCATATGCTGGCCTGCCCGTCCTTGGAAAGGGTAGAGGGATCCCATTACACGCTGAAAACCCGGCCCTCTCAACTGAACCTCGACCTTTTTGGAAGGTAGACGAGATAAACACCGAAACCATCAGCCCTTTTGGTAGCCTGAATTTGGTTTTTTTTACATGTCTCATTTATTGATCACCTGATTCCAGTTTATTGATGACGACGACAAGTGCTACCTGGAAATCAACTACACCTTTGACATCCAGAAACAATGGCCAAAGTAAAACCGCGAATTTTCGGATAGCTCTCTCAGTTACCTCTTTGGAAGCTGCATTGTGAACAAGTGGAACGAAGCAGAGAGAAATCAGATAGATAGTTTCTTGGAGACTACCAGTTACTAGTAATAGAGCTTGGCTTGTTTGTGATATTTGTTTTGGTTTTTTCTGCTCTCTTCTGTCTGTCTTGACATTTAAACCAGGGGCTCCTTTGCCTTAATTAGCTAGTTAGCCATTTGTATAGGCAGCTGCCAGCAGTTGAAGACAGTCGTCCTCGGTATTGTGGTTTTGTTTATATTATGGTTTCGTTCAGTGATTGTAGAGATCTTTACAAAACAATCTTGCTGTTTATAGTTAATAAATTTAAGATTGTTCTACTGAAATATGACAGACCTCTGGCAATTGAACTTTGATGTGTTTTTATTATTGGCTTTCTTGAAACAGTGCTAACTAAGATTGTTGCTTACTAGACATTAATTAGGGGTGCACACGGTTCAGTTTGGGAGTATTTTGAAACCGAATGGATCCTAAAATTTTAAATTAGATCTGAAAATCCTGAGTATGTTATGAATTTAATTAGGTTCTTCACACATGTTTCAATACGATTAATTAATTATAAAATAAAACCATTTTTTTCTTATTAGCCACATCTTCGGTTTTGATTGTTCAACAAAGCAGTTTTGATTGTTCAACAAAGAAGTCAATAACCCAAAATTTTCAAGTGTTTCAGGTCCCTAAGGATACCCAAAGAAAAAAATAATTAAAGATTGAAGTTAGAAATTAAGGATAAAGATACATCAAATAATATATTAGTAACATAAAAGTCTTGAAACCAATGGATGGTTAGCTCTTCTTAATAACCTCCTTTTCGGTATAAAGTATGAGATCGCATTAATTATTTGACTATTATTATTGGAAGAAAAAAATACAGATTATCCTTGCGCACCTATGAATTGATTGGATTTAAATAAGGAATTTTGTTATGATTAACGTTCATACGGTGGTCCAAAAAGAGAGTGAGTGAATTTTGCTAATGATTAACATTCACACGGTGGTCCAAAAAAAGAGTGATTAAACAGACAAACATGCTTCAAGTCTAATATATGATCTACTTATTTGCAAAACCAATTGTTTGATTGTATGACTTTGTAAGACTGTGCAATGTAATCACAATGTTTAGATAAGAAGTTTGTTGAACAATTGTATTCCCATTAGTCAATCATACGAGTCAGACCTTTAATTATCGTGGACAGGTTTTTTTATTTTATTTTCTTATATTTTAAATGCAAGACCTATATCTGTTAGACTTGACTTTTCCTCCTTTTTTCTTCCATCTTGACAAGGTTATATGTATATATATATATAATCGTGGACCAATCTTGTTTTTCTATTATTTATTTTTAAATGCTAGGAGTAGCATGCAAGCCCTACAACTTTCAATCAAACTCTAATTTTTTTTTTTAAAAAATGACATTAATATTTTTTGTTTAACATTTATTTATTTTAAGTTAAGTGTAATAATGAAGAAAACATATGCTTCGAAATTTAATTTAAATTATAACTACCAGAAAAAAAATTTATTTTAATTTCAGTTCAATTAAGAAGACCGTGTACAAAACCCTGCGGGGTAGCTCAGCTAATCAGGCCTTAGGTTTGCTCCTTAATGGTCACTAGTTCGAGTCTTCGCAAGGCCAGCCTTGGGTTTGCTCTCTAATGATCACTTGTTCGAGTCTACACAGGGCCACTGGAGGCTTACCCGGTCGTTAACTTCAGGGTCTTGTGGGATTAGTCGAGGTGCATGTAAGCGGCTCGAACACCCACGATTTAAAAAAAAAAAAAAAAAAGGACAGCGTACAAACATTAAAAATAGGGTAATTTACAATGACACAACCTTTGTTTGTCATATTGACGGCCATATATAAGTCAGCCTATTTTTGAACAGTGTTACCCCTTGTCAGATATGTGACTCAAATAGAGTCTAAAAATGTGTCAAAAGTCTAGTTTGCCCTTTATTATTTTATCAATTTTTTTTAATATAAAATATCATAACACTTAAATGACTGAATTGCCCTTTTGTCTATATATATATATATATATATATTTCTTAATTGGTACTCACACACACATGTCTCCCATCAAGGTTCGAACCCTTAACCTCTCTTTAGAAAGTAGAAGCCCGATACCGTTAGGCCACTAGCCTGTTGGTCCTTGTAAATCTCAATTTTCTTTTTTATTCATTCACATCTCTCTATACAAAATCCTTACAAATCTCAAATTCTCTCTTCTTTAAGGCTCCGTTTGGATACACAAGATATATATAAAAAAAGAAAAAAAAAAGAAGAAAAGGAGATGATAGTATTAGTTATGTGATAAAAGCAGAGAAAGGTCATGTTTGGATATATATAAGAGAAAAAAAAAAAAAAATGATAGTATTCTTGTTTTGATATGATAGAGGGGAGAAAAGAAAAGAAATGATAATAACCAAATTACTATCATACACTTTTAAATAGATGGGATATGAGTTGAATAATAATTTCCTCATTTTAATTGTTAAGAGCAATTTTGAACTTATGAAACTGCCATTTAGACACTATCATTGTGGCGACCTTATGGGCAGGTGTGTGTGACCGTGTGCAAGTGGCACCAGTAGGTTACCACACTAGGCGAGTTACATGTGTACAATCCCATATTGCCTGGGTGTAGATAGGGCAAATATTATATGCAGATTCAACACCATTCTATGACACAAAGTGTTTTAAAGTCGTGATTGTTGTGAACCTACCAGAACTCCACAGTTAAGTGTGTTTAACCTGTAGTAGTTCAGGATGAGTGACCCCTTGGGAAGTTTTTGGTCTAAGGGAGTCAAAAGTAGATAATATTGTGTCTGGATAAGGTGAGAGTCGTTACAAATGGTATCAGAGCCTAACCTAATTGAAAGTGTGGCCAATGAGGACGTTGGGACTAGGGCTGCAAGTTGGGCTAACCCAACCCAGCCCATTCCCAACCCAACCTCAACCCGAATCGGGTTAGGTTGGGCGAACCTGAATTGTACCTAACATGGGTTATAGTCAAAACCCAACCCGAATATTTTCGAGCCGGTCGGGTCGGGTTGACGGGTTGAGTTTTTAAAATTTATTTATATATATATTTTTTCGAAAATATATATATTATATAGATATATATATTATTAAAAACAAAAAAAATTTAGGGCAAATCATTTCAGCCTCCCCAATCGTCCAGTCTCATTCTCAACTCTCTCTCTCTCTGCAACTTCAAACTACAAAATCTACAAGAATCAAAAGTTCAAAACCCATATATTTCAAATTATTTCAAATTGTTCGAAAAATCAAAACCCATATGTTTCAGTTTCCATCGCCGGCTGTTCCAATTCGGGTTCGCCTTTCGCAAGCTTCAGCCGCTGTCTCTTAACTCTCAAGCTTGCTCCCCTCTCTCTCTGCAACTGCTAACTTATATGTATGGGTTTTGTTTTAATTTTTGGAAGTGACGGCAACGGCGGTGGATCGGCTGAGGGACGGCGGCAGAGAAAGAGAAAGAACAGAAAAGAGAAAAAAAAAAAAAAAAAAAAATTCGGGCAGAAAGAGAAAGAAGAGAGAGGAGAGAGAAAAAAAAATTCGGGGAGGAGAGAGAAAAGAGAAAAAAAGAGAGAGAGGAGAGAGAAAAGAGCAAAAAAAATTAATAATAATAATTTTGGGTTTTGGGTTGGGTTCGGGTTGAGCCCGAGCCCAACCCGAATTATCTAGGTTTTGATTAAACTCAACCCGAACATAAACCCGATTTGTGAATTGTGTGTCCAAATTTCAAAAATTTTGGGTTGGGTTTGGGCAGGGTTGGGCTAGCCCGCCCAACTTATAGCCCTAGTTGGGACCCAAAAGGGAGTGATTGTGGCAACTTTGTGGGCGGGTGTGTGTGAACATGTGCATGTGCAGGTGGCCCCAAAGGGGGTGATTGTGGCGACCTTGTGGGCGGGTGTGTGTGGCGTGTGTAGGAGACACCAGTAGACTACCATACTGGACCAGCTACATGTGCAGAATCTTACATCATTTGGACATTTTAAAGTCGTGATGATCGTGAACCAACCAAAACCCCAGTGTGACCCTATGTGAAGTATTTGATCCGAGGAGACAAAAGCAATAATATTATACTTGGACAGGGCAAAGGGCGTTGCAATTATTTATATCCTTATCTTCTCATTTTTTTTGAAAGATAGGATATGAATAAGGAGGAATATCTCTGCCTATCGTCTGTATTCTCTCATTTTAAACAATCAAAACACAATATAATACTATCTTCTGCTTCTTCTCACTTTTTTTTTTTTTTTTTCAAATCACTCAATCGAAACGAACCATAACCCTAACCCTATTTTCACCAGCCAAAAATCTCTCCATCTAGCGCTTGGAAAATGTCAAACCCTTGCAAATTTCACTTATGATAGACAAACGACCACCACCGTCCGTCGGCGACGATCAAATTGACGGCAATGATCCTGATGTCTAGGCTGATGAAGTAAAACTGTACATTTTCCTCGCCTTATGCTCGTCTCTGCTCCTTCCATGTGTGTGTCAGTGTATACTATTACGCGCAAGTGTGTCTGTGTGTGCGGTTATATATACATATACATATATATATATATATATATATATATATTTTTTCAATTCAATTGCACACAAATATATATAACCACACACCAGCATATGCAATTAAATTGAAAAAACAGTGCTTTCATTTTTACTGTGTGTGTGCTCATATACAATTAAATTGAAAAACAAAGCTTCAATTTTTTATGTGTGCGCTGGTGTGTGGTTATATATATGTGTGTGCGCAATTGAATTGAAAAAAGCAGAGCTTCGATTCACCTCATCTCAACGACAAGGATACTCTGTTTGACGTCGATCACTATTGTATGTTTTGTTTTTCACAACAATGGCAATGGCAATAACGCTATTGTTGACGTATATATATGGAATATATGTGTGTATGGGATTAGTGACTGCGCAATGACGGGGATGATTGAGGAAATGATGGAGTCAAAATTAAGTTTTCTGAAGTTTTGTCAAATGTTGACTTAGGCATAGAAATTTATTGTAGATTATATTTTGATTCCCAAACCGCCCTTGTTGCAAAATGATTCAACTATCCTATTTAATTGATCGGGTGCTTCCATCAACAGCGACAAAAAATCGCCACCGGCTTCATCCTCCGCCAACTACCCAATAGCTTCAACTGAGACCGAAATCTAAAAGCGACGGAGACCCATAACCGGCGCATCAAGACCCAACCGGTTTCGAGCATGAGGGAAGTTGGTGGCAAGGAAGCATCAACGAAGGCTAGTTCTGTGTGCTCT